ACCAATGGCTTTTTTAAATATTTAATCTTAAGCTTGCTTGGTTAAAGATCCTTAATTAGATCCTTAGATTAGATTAGATTAGATCCTTAAAAAAGATCCTTTCAGTTTTTGAAGAATTTATTCGAAAGCGTAGAATTGACCTACTAAGTTATTTCAATGGTTGGCGAGACGAAGGTGGGAATGGAAAGGGTCAATGAGCTAAAATGCGCTACGCCATCATCCGGGAATATATGTCTTCAGTCATTTTCTCAGAACGTCTTGGAAGGTGCTACGGTTATCATCCGGATCATGCAATATAGGGCGCTGGTTTCTGTCTAAGGAATAGACGGACATGATTTTAATTAAAAGAAAATAACCTTAATTTCAGGAAGATGATCTCCTTCCTTTTGTGGCAACACTGCAAAGAACATGGCGGCTGCCATGGAATTCTCTTTGGGTTTCTACATCATCTGGATGTCATCATCTTTTACATGATCTGTTTGAGAGCGACCGCGTTGCTGGATGCGTTTGCTCCATGGAGTTTTTCAGTAATTCTGAATTAGTTTTAGCTTCTTATCGAGTTCCATGTTTTTCCGGGTGACTGCTGTGGTACTTTGAATTATGTTAGATCTAATTTTGGCGTTAGGCTAGCCTATAATGTGGCAAATCGCGACACTTTCTGTGTGTCGACTCCGCTGAAAGAAAGCCTGTCCATCATAGGCCTATGGTGAGAAAAAGAGGGTGAAAAAATGAGGGGCTCGGGTTCTCGGAGTTCCCTCAATGGTATCGTGTCGCCCCCGCCCGGCCCGCTCTCCGAGATGGAGCACATCATCTCTGCCCTGGAGCGGGGGACCGTGGTCTACAAGTTCTACGTGAGGAAGAGACCCGAGAAAGGTCAACTCTCGATCCGACGGGAGACCAGGCAGGTCATCTGGAAGAAGGCGGTTCCAACCAGCACGGCCGGGTCTGGGAAATTTGTCTTTGATGGGGCCATCGACATGCACGAGTTAAAAGAAGTTCGAGTAACACGGTCCTCTAAAGAATTTGACAGGTCAGACTCTTAAATCCACCGTTTTTGTGCTTATTGCAATAGTTTATGAAGTGTGAGAGTGGAGGGTTGGAAATGAAGAAAGGCATTATCTCTTTCACTATCTAGTGCAACTGATATGGGATAAGGAGGACTACCTGCTGTGTGATAAAAGTCGACCATCACAGCGAAAGACTTGAATTAAACCATAGATCTAATGAAAACAAAAAAGTTTGGTGCTTTTGATAATCTGTTGAAGGCTCACAAAATATGCATTTCAGTCATACTGTAGTACTTTGGCTTTCATTATTTTGTATGACATATGAGGGAAATGCAATTAATAATGAGAAATTTTAAATTAAATACGATCTATCAAAATTAGAAACAAACTGCTGTGACTGTCATGTTGATATAACCAATATTTAATTTTTGTGAAGTTGGTAGCACCCTATCATGACACGTGCCCAATGGTACAGTTCAAATGTGGCGTTCAAAGTGAAAGGTTCGTCCACTGCATCATAGGGTGCTGTAGTGCAGTTTCTTTGTGCAGTGGATTCAAAGCCATGGGAATTTTTTTTTACATATGAATGTATGCAGTGTACGCAGATAATTGCATGCTTCAATTAATGATAACTCCTCTCTGAAAACAACAGTTTTTTTTCTCACATCCTCGCTGCCTCTTTAATTTGTCTTCTGAAGAAAAGTGTTGTCTTTGGAAATGGCTTTTCATTGTTTGAGACATGCAAATGTCTGTGGACACTGCAGACATTCATCTGTAAATCTCACATGGTTTTGAATCCTTGGCGCACAAAAGAACTGTACTGTAACATGCACATTCAGCGAGAGAGTGCTATCACCCTCACAAGTTTTGAATATTGCTAATACCAACATGACTGACTCAGTAGTCTGTTTCTTAAGTTGGTAGATTGTATTTTATGTGCACAATCTTATTATTTATTGAACTCCCCTTGTTATTTAAGAGTACTTGGTCATACTAGCTTGGATCACTATAACCCTTAACATCCTCCTTAATGCATGGGCACCAGGTGGCAGGATGATACCAGACGAAATGATGCCCAGTGGCGCTTTGTCCTCCTCTACGGGATGGAATTCCGCATGAAGACGTGTTCCCTGGTGGCCCTAACAGAGAGAGAGTGTCACATGTGGGTGAAGGCACTGAGGCACCTGGCCGAGGACACACGCAAGGCCTCCTATCCGCTGCAGCTGGAGCGGTGGTTACGCAAAGAGTTCTACTCCATGGAGAATCCCCATGGCACTGTGTCTGTC